AGATGAATTTGTTCGTTCGTTTTCTTTTCTTTTTTTTTTTCTTTTTTTTTTTTCTAAATCAAACAGCTCAACGATCATGTCTACACCTACGTCCGTATATCTTTTGTTATCGTACAATTCACCAAAGAGAATATTTTCTTTAATAGTACCACCAAAAAGCCATGGTTCTTGGGAGGCATAAGAAAATCTAATGTTTTTATTATCAGTGAAATAATTTGTTAAGTTCGCATGAGAGTCCCCTTTTGTAGGCAAGTTTTGTAATATCTTGATGGTACCAGCACCCAAAGGAAGTTCCTTCAAAAGTGTATTTAAAAGGGCTGTCTTTCCTGATCCAACTTGACCCAATAAAATACATAACTGGCCCGGATCCACTTTCATACTGATATTACATAGAGTAGGTGGTAATTTGCTCGACACCCAATTTGATGATACTTTTATCAATTCAATCGATGGTTGTTTTTTCGGCTCGACGTTTATTACCGGCTCTTCCTTCTTCAAAATGATCCTACAATATTCAATATCATTTTTATCTCCTTTTTTCTCATATTTTGATGACATTGATGACATCAATGACGTTTGATCGTTCGATATCACTTCGTCCAACAATAAAAATTCCTGAAATAATTGTTTGAAATATTTATTTTTCTTTTCTTTCTTTTTCTTTGTTTTTCTTTTTTTTTTTTTCTTTCGTATAATTACCACGGCAAAAAGCTTAATTACGTATATATAGAAATTTAATTAAGCGCATTTATAACTCCGACGTTCTCTTTTATTTTTCTAATGATCATACGTTTAGCGTATGAATAAAATTTCTTTCTGACAAATAAATAATATTTCATATAACACTTTTGCAACGATAAAGATTAATTTGTTAAATTAATTTTTAATGACTTAAAAAAAAAATTGATTAAATAACATCAATTTATATTTCTGATTTATAAATTATAATGTACTTTATAATGAATTACGAATAATTAATTTATAAAGTAGAAATAAAATATTACAACGAACCTCGATTCTATTAATAGTTATTGTGGTCTCGTTCCAAGATATTAGAGCTTGTAGAAAAAACATGACGATCGTTAATTGTAAAATATTGAAGAAGGTTGTCCAAACATATGTATATTCTGGATTTAATGTCTTGTTTGTAAGAGCGTACGAAACCATAGAAAAATATAGTGTCATTCTTTCGGTAAATATTAACATAGACAGAGCTAATACTTTAATAAACGAGCTAATCCTAATTTTTTTCATTTCCGCTATACGTGTTGTTATTACAAATTTACTGAACGGCTTTTCCCATCCATACATTTTGATCATCTGAAAACAAAACAAAAAAAATAAAAAAACACCAAAATTCATTTTATATCGATACTTCATGTTACGATCATATCTATAATATGTATTTCTATGGAATGAATTTGTGAAATACTTTTTTTTTTTTTTTATTATCATTATTATTATTATCATTATTATTAATTTTTTTTTTCTTTTCTTTTATTAATTGAAAATTTCTACCACCTGTATGCCTGTTATAAATTCGTTTATAAGTTGTATCCTTGTATCCGTTAAAACTGCTAGACTTGCTCTTAATTTTTTACTTATTACAGGAAAATATCCTTGAATTGGAAAAGATACCAATAAGAGACATGCAATGCCAAAAAATGTTGAAGATCCGATCATCGTCCACATTATGTAGGTTACTACTACGAGCTACGAGTGATTTTATAATAATATAATTTAATTTTTTATTTATTAAGAAATAATATTTCATCATTGCCAATTTTAGGCATAAGTTTTTATTTATTACCTGAATCGGTCCAATCCATAAATAATGCAGATAAATGAGTACAGTATCAAAACGATTCATATCATTGCTAAGAATATTAAGAATTTGTCCACCATTAGTCGTTTGCATTAAAGCTGTTTTACTCAGTCGTAATATCTGTAATAGATATATGTATATATGTATATATATATATATATATATACATACGTTACATTATTTATTTTAATTATTATTGTTTTATATGTTTAAGTATTTTTTTATATTACATAAATGCAAACGTCAACGAAATGTCGTCAAAGAAATGATAAGAAACGAATGTAAACTTACATAATTTATGAGGTATATAATATTGATAAGAATTCAAAAAATATTTAAAAAGAAAAAAATAAAAAAATAAAAAAAAAAAAGGAAAAAAAAAAGAAAAAGCATAAAATATTCAGACCTTGAATTATTACTTAAATATTACGTAATTAAAGTCCACATTTTTCATATATAATTTATATAACGTTATATAGAAATTAATAATTATCTACGTTAAAATCAAACAATTGACATACTTTTTTGTATATTAGAGAACTGCAAGCTATACGTATTTGCATTCCTATTTCTTGACTTTTAAAATATACATGATGGAAAATGCAAACAGATACGATGATATCGATGACCAGACCAAAACAATAAATGATCACTTTTTCTTTCGTTACTGTTTTTGAATTTGTCGAAGATACATTAAAATAATTTATTATCCATCCTTGTAATATTGGTTGTAACGTATACAATATTACAGTATGAACAAACAGAAATCCTGATATTAAAAAATATTTACGCCAAAATATACGATATAATGCCTTGTACAAGGACGGTTTTATATCTTTGTTTAATTTTTTATTACCGTCCTTTTCCAATACATATTCGAAATCCTGTAATTTCTCCCATTCGCGACGCCATTCTCTGTAAAAGAAAAAAAGTCAAGAAAGAAAGAAGAAAAGAAAAAAGAACAAAAGAAAAAGAAACAATGTACCGAGCAAATTTAATTTCTTTTTTTTTTTTCTTTTTCTTTTTTTTCCGTCGAAAAGGATAAATTCAATGGAAAAGAAAAAGTGATCAATATTTGTATATAAATTAAATTATTAAACCTTTCGAGCAAATTTCCAAGATTTTCCGATTGGTTGAACTTCAATGGTTCATAAATATCATCCAACGTTAATGTTTTGTTTAGTCCTTTTTTAAATATATCCTTGAGCCACCTAATGTAATATTTGTTGGATATTGAAGGAAAAAAAGAAAAGAAAGACTTAATTATTAATAATTAACAAAGTTTTCAGAGGTCAAAGAGGGAGGAATGCTAGACGAATTTGACAAATAACGTAATTAGAAAAATAACGAGAACAAACCAAAAAGTTAAAACACTAAATATATTTGCCGATTCCTTTGGATTCCTGTTAACAGGACACTTTTGTATATGCATGTTTTCTATTAAATAATTTTAATTAAAACAAAAAAAAAAATATATATACATATATTCTTTTTGATATTATTATCCGTAAATATTTCTTATTCAAACGTACTGCCTTCACTGTTATTCATTCGAAAAGTTTAGAGTCACTGAAAATTCGTCATCGGCTAAGGCTTTTGTATCTTTCTACTTACATAATAATTAGTTGAAAAGTGATAACAATAAGTAAACTAGTTACTTACCATTTTTTGATAATAGATTATTATACGTATTTCAAGAATCGATCTTTTTTTTTCATTACATTTATTTATAAATCATATATTACATGCGAGTTGTGTAAATAATATAACATTATTTTCATTGTAAAATATTATATATATATATATATATATATATATATATATATATATATATATATATATATATATGTATATATATATATATATGCGTAGTCAGTCGATTATACCATTACAATCTATGTTTAGTAATTTTATTCGACAATACAAAATTTTATACTTTCATTTTGTAATTTTCTTATCGCATTTATTAACTATAATAATAAATATAACTAATGTTTATAAATACAATTAATATCTTTCCTTATTCCACTTTCCTATAATTGTAAAAGTAGTATAAAATTTTTAAGACCTATATATGTATATCCAATTTTTGTATTACAAATTGAAAATACGAAAGTGTAGACAATTATTTGTCATATATATATCAAGAATTACTACCTCTTTTTATTTTTATATTCATCAAAATTAAACGTATTCGAGAAAATTCAATAAATTCTTTTCTGTTAGATCATATATATATATGCTACTAGTAATTATGTTTTTGAGATCCATTCAAGATCAATTGACCGTGTTTGTATTGTCTTTATATAAGTACAAACCCAGTATCTTTGTATGAAATACAAAATAGGCACGAGTGACGTATAATTTACGTTCATGAATAATACTATTTTTAATATTTTTACGTAACAAATACCATTTCATATGCAATTTTCCAATGTATTTATCATTTCTTTCCAAGTATTTGTTATTTTGAAAGCGATAGTTAAAATTAACCGGAATTGTTTATAGATCTCTGTACTATGATATTTAAAATAACATTTTTTTTTTTTTTTTTAATGAATCCATCCAGACATATTTAAAAAGTTGATACAGAGTTATACACACACACACACACACATACACACGTACTCACACATATAAATATAAAACGTAAAGATCTCAAAGAATTTTAGAATATATCAACGACTTTCCAAAATAATTGTATATTGCACTTTGTTATTATTTTCAAAAACACAATGAACTCTTTGCAATCGTGGCTAATAATGGCATAAAATAAAGAAAATAAATCCAAATATGACGGGTAAGCCCACATAAAGAATATACATTAAGGCAAATATGCCATTGAAAACATAAAACGTTGAAAACATTGATAAAATAATACAATATGTTAAAATGAGATTTAATATTTTGGAAGATCTATGCATTATAATAATAATAATATATACATATATATACTTAATAATTATTATAAAATCATTCATATATATATGTACATATATATAAATATATATATGTATATATATATACATATATATATTTATATATATGTACATATATATATATATATATATATATATATATATATATATATATACATAGGTATAGTCTTTCCTATGGATTAAGTTAACATTACTATAGTAAAGGGGTTAATTAAAAAAATTGATGCAAGACAATGTAAATATGAATTGGAATCAATTATCCAATGATAATTTTTCTTATAAATATGATTAATATGTTATTTTTCATTAGGAATACTTTATAGCACCTTAAATTGTATATGAGAATAATCTATGATCTCTCTATTTTCTTAAATTATCACATTTGAAGTTAGTTCTATGGACTTTGGAAATAACATTCAGGTAAAATGTAAAGTAGAAAAATATAAGTACTTTTTGTATGAAAGTATTTGTACTTATCCAGAGATTAAAGTATTAAATTTGATAAATCTATTAGATTTGAAAACAAACAAAAAAAAAGAACTATTTATGTACGTATATATTATATACATATATACGTATATATATATATATATATATGCAATAGAAAGTTATTCAGGGATATAATATAAAACATAATTTCTTGATATTAAAGAAATCTTTTGGCATAATACTTATTAAGATAGAGATATCTGTATATGCTTATTTTATATATATATATATATATATATATATATATATATATATTATATATATATATATATTATATATATATATATACACATTATATAGATATATATATATATATACACATTATATAGTTTCTTGGTATAGAATTTCTATGAGCTAAGGAACAATCAGGCTTTAAAAGTCTGATATTAATCATTCGACCTAAATTATAGATAGTTAGTAACGTTAGAAAAATATATAGAAAAAATATCATGATTTTTGTTCTCCATATTTGTTTATATACGATTGTTTGGCCATTTTAATCAGCTGATCTGACATAGCTCTACCAGTTTCTTTCACCAACGAAGTAAATTGACTATAATTATTCTGCAATAGTATATGAGGATGATCGTATTCCTATGGAAAAAAAAAAAAGAAAAAGAAAAAAAAAAGAAAAAAAAAGAAGAAACAAAGAAATAAACAATTACAAATAAAAATAAAAGGAAACAATAATAAAAATGTTTTAATAAGAATATAAAATTAGAATAAAAATAAAATAAATTTAAATTGTAAATAATTTGTGATATCGAATAAAAATATAATTAATTATAATACTTACCGCCATTCTACCCTTATCCATAACCAATACTTTATCACTGTCCATTATAGTGTTTAATCGATGAGCAACCGTCAATACTGTACAAGAAGCAAATTTCTTTCTTATCGTACGCTGTATCAAAGCATCCGTTTGGGGATCTACATTAGCCGTTGCCTCATCGAGCATTAATATACGATTGTTTCGTAAAATTGCTCTTGCCAAGCATATAAGTTGTCTTTGACCAACACTGAAATTACTACCTCTATCAAGTACACGAGATTCTAAACCATTTCCAGCAGTGGCAACGGCATCTTTTAATTCGACCTATAAACATTTATTTTCATATTTATTTCATAATATATGTATATATATAAGAGAGAGAGAGAGAGAGGAAAAGTTAGAAATCTCTTAAAAAAAAAAAAAAAAAAGATAAAAATATTAACTTCTTCCAAAGCTTCCCAAACTATTTGATCCGAATACTCATTAAATGGATCAAGATTCCGTCTTAATGTTCCTGAGAATAAAACTGGATCTTGAGGGATAATAGATATATTACGTCGCAAATCTTCCAAACAAATTGATCCGGTATCGACATTATCAATTTCTATTATCCCTTCGATCTTCGCCAATCTGAATAATGCCGATATCAATGATGATTTTCCAGCCCCAGTTCTTCCCACAATACCGACCTATAAATACGTAACAATCATAAAATTATTAATATAAATGAATTGTAAATAATTAATTTATAATATCTTATATAAAAATAGAAATACTTAATAAATATATCGTTGTTATACCTTTTCACGTGGTAAAATCAATAAATTTAAATTTTTCAAAACCGGCAGATCCTCATCGGTGTATCTCATATATATATCCCTAAATCTGATACAACCCTCGCTAGGCCAATTCTTTGGTGCATTTTGTGGTAAGGATTCTAAATTTTGTTTATCCGACTTTTTGAAAAATTTTCCTTTGTTACGTAAATTATCTTCCGGTGGTAATTGCGTATATTCAAGGACACGTTCAACTGACATCATTTGATTAGCGACCTCGGCACTTTGTCGCATTCCCCATTGTATCATACCAGTCATGGCCATCACTTGGGTAATAGCCAAGCCAACCTCACCACCAGAAAATGCTGAATGCGACAGAGAGAGAGAGAGAGAGAGAGAGAGAGAGAGAGAAAAAGAGAGAGAGAGAGAGAGAAAGAGAAAGAGATAGAGAGAGAGAGAAAGAAAGAGAGAAAGAATGTTCAATTATTCCTTGTTTTTTGGCATATAATCAAAAGATAAAAAAAAAAAAGGATAAAAAAAAGATGAAGAAAAAAAAGAAAAGACAAGAACAAGACAAAGAAAAAAGAAAATATCTATATAAAATGTTAAATCTTTTCTTTTTTTTCTTTCTTCATATATATATATATAAAAGAAAAAAGAATTATTATATAAAGAGAAAGAAAATAATTCGTACTTGTACTTAATAAAAGAAAGCTGAAGGTTACAAGTGATGTAAATATGAAACAAAATACATCCAAAGAAAATCCAAATGCTGTACTAGTTACAATATACATGTAAACCGTAGACGTATGCGCATCTTGAAATTTATCGAACTCCATTTTTAATATATCTTGAGCGCCATATGCTCTAATAGTAGGTAGACCATTTAACGTAGCATTTAAATGGGTAAACACTGGTGATCGTGCTGTAATAAAAAAAAAAAAAAAAAAAAAAAAAACAACAAAATAAAACAAAAAGAAAAAAAAAGGAAAAAGAAGAAAGACAAAAGAAAATATTTCAATTGTTATAAATTATTGTAAGATATTCTTTTTTTTTTTTTTTTATCAAATAAATAAATATATAATATCACTTACTGATGCCTTCTAAACGTTTAATATTTTTACTTGTTTTTAAATAAACTTTACGAATCCAATAAAATGTCGTTCCCAAAAATATTACAGGAATTAAAAACATTGGATTGACTATACAAGATACGGTCAATGATCCGAACATTAGCATACATAATTGGCCAGCATCTAATAATGCCTTAGGCAATAATTCATCGATTGCACCAATATCTTTCGAAAATCTATTTAAAATTCTTCCACTTGGATTGGTATCAAAAAATCTCATATTAGTTCTGATCAATGCGCTAAAAGTCATGTCGTGTAAACGTTGACTGCATAGCATGCACATTTTATAAAAAATTAATGATCTCGTGATACCAATGATGAATATTCCAATTACGATTGCAGTATAAATGTATACATAAGTATTGCTTATATGCGTTGGTATTTCATCTTCCATAGTAATATTCGCTTGTGTTTGCTGATAATGTAATGTCTCTTCGGCGTTAACTCTAAAGTTAAATATTTAATGTGAATATTTATTTTAATTAACGATAAATAAATTATGAGCACATGCACACACACACCCACACACACACACACACACACACATACACACACACACATAGACAATGAAATATATACTTACAAGATTGGAATAAAATAATCATTAAGACTGGCAATGAATTGCGTGAGAATTATTAAAAAGAGGACTAATAAGGCAAGACAAAGATTGGCGCCGACTTGAAAATATCGAATAAAAATTGGTCCTTTTACTACACCACGTGATGTTCCTTCTAAACCGTCATTAAATTTTTCAACATCTTCATTTTCCTCTTCGTCATCTGTACCACCACTACTAGCTTCTGGCGTACGACTCTATTGTACATTGAAATAGACGTAATTAATGACGACATAATGTTAAAGATTTATATATACGTATACGGAATAGTTGGCAAATAATCTTACCCTATTACTCAATGAAGAAAATTGTCTTCGTATTGAATTCCTTTCGAAAGAAGAATCCTCGCTCGTATCATTGTCTGTTGCCAATAAACTTCTATATTCTGGATAATCGATCAAAAGGTCTTGATAATTTTGATACAATTTAAATTTTCCCTTTTCCAAAAGTATTATAGCGTCGACTTCTTTTATATATTGCAATTGATGCGTTGCCAAAATTCGTGTCTTATGCGCCAAATATCGTTGAATACATTCCTCGAAAAGATGCTTACTGACGTGCGCATCGACCTAATATTTTGATTAAATTGAAATTTTAATATTGTTTGTTATTTTTCTTTTCTTTTTTTTTTTCCTTTTTTTTTTCTTTTTCTTTTTTTTTTCCCCCATTATTTTTATACAACATAAATTTTAATGCAATATAGATATTGATATATTATAGCTAATAGGAAATATATATTATCCATAATATATCCATATTGTCTTACTTATAATAAAAGATAAAAGATTTAAAGTTATTTGATTTGAAAAATCAATTACTTCTTTTTGAGACTTTTTAATCTTGCAGTATTATAATTTGAAAAAAAAAAAAAACAAAAAAAAAAGAAATATTAGCTTAAAAAGTTTAGAAAAAAGTAATTGATTTTAAAAATTATTTACAATAAAAACTTTTGACTTAACTAGAAACTTTTGATCAACCTGTATAATATAATATATAAATATATATTATACTTATTATTTATAATATGAGAAAGAGAGAGAGAGAGAGAGAGAGAGAGAGAGAGAGAGAGAGAGAGAGAGAGAGAGAGAGAAAGAGAGAGAGGTTGTATTATATATATATATATATATAGTATATTACTTATAATATAAATTATATATATAATTAATATTTATAACTATTATAATATTATAATAAGTCAATTTTAGATATAATAATACGATATAATAGTCGTATTATTATAATAGTTATAAATATTATCTTATATTATAAGCAATATAAATTCGATCGGAAAATTTTATATAATACATATTTAAACGCACACGCAACTCACCATATACCGAAAACACATTTAAATATTATATTACCTATAATATACATATATACATATATACATATATATATATATTTTTTTAGTATTGTTACTTTATAATCTCATCGTGCATTATATATAATTCATATTTACCGCGCTCAAAGGATCATCTAAAAGATAAATATCCGCTTGTTTGTATAATGCCCTTGCTAAGTTGATTCTAGCTTTTTGACCACCAGATAAAGAACTCCCTCTGTCACCAACGATCGTTAAATCGCCCTGTGGGAATTGCTTGAAATCTCTAAGAAGAGCGCAAGCTTTGACTATACGCTGATAACGTTGACGTTCGTACGGTTGCCCAAATAGAATATTTTGTCTAACGGTAGCACCAAACACCCATGCTTCTTGACTAGCGTAACTCACATTACCGTTACATTTCACACAACCATCTATGATATTCATCTCACCGAGTATCGCCGAAAGGAATGAACTTTTACCAGCTCCTACCATTCCAATAACTGCATATAATTTGCCTTTCTCTAACAATAGATTTATACCTTCTAATATTGTTTCAGATTGACCGCCTTCCCAATTTGCTATTACGTTTGTCATCTTAATCGCATACGAATCTTCGGATAAAGCTGAATCACTTCTATCTAAAAAAAATTTTATTAAGCACAATGTATTACAATGTTAATTAACAAAAGTATAATAATTAAAAAAAAAAAAAAAAGAAAAAAAAACCATTCACGAGTTATAATAGAAACATAATATAAAAATAAAATGATAAACAAGTAATAAATAAATAAATAAATTTTAATGTAGAACACTTTCAATACATTTTTACAATTAACTTACCATTAACTAGACTGGCCGTGTTTTTCAACAAATCGTTAGCTACTATTATCAATCCATTTTGTATGTTTTTCTCGTTATCTTGAAAATAATTCTCATCAATAACTTCATCGTCCATATAAGGTAAATCTTGCCTTGACGCTCTGATAGACGTTTGTCTCGATATAGATGTAATGCTACCGTTTGGACTTCTCGATAATTTATTACTTATCGTAATATTATTACTACGAAACTCGTCGTACATCAAGAAATGTTGTAATCGTCGTACAACCACAAGACATTCCGCAATTTCGGCAAAACCGCGTACAAACATTCCAGACATTGTTTGAGCAAGTATATTAAAGTACGAAGAGAAAACGAACACTTTTTCGGCGGTCAATTCGTTACGAAGCATAATCATTGATATTAGGGTACAATAAAGTGCCATTCTCGTTGTAAATAAATTAAATGTCATATAGATACCACGAATGGATGAACTTTTACTGACTACTCGTAACTCCAATTTTCTAGCCAATTCGACTAACGCGCAAAAGGGCTTCTCCCAGGCGTACATTTTTATTACTTGCACGCCAGAAATAATCTCATCCATCAGCCGTACCCTTTCATCCGTCTTTATGGCCGTCTGCAGTCTAAACTTTGAAGAAAGTTTACCGGTATAAGCTAAAACAAAAAGTATAACAAAAATATCCTTAAAAGGATTACCCTGATATATATATATATATATATATATCTACGTAAGAATAATTTTATCACCACGCTATATCTTTTTTCATTACAACGAAATAACATGAATTGAAAAGTAAATAATATTAAAGAATAATATTAAAAATTACATCTAAGAATATAACTATTGTTAATAATAAAATTAATTTTATTTAAATAAGATAGATATATTTATGAACTAAATAGATAATAGATAATATATTTACAAAATCTATACAATTTTTCAATTAAATCCATTCTCCTCTTTTGTTTCCAAAATGAACTATATAAGATCGATTATAGATAATAAAATATAATTAGACGTTTGTTTTATTGAAATAAAATCAAGAAAAGTTACTTATAATGTAACAACAACAACAACAACAATAATAATAATAATACTATCTTATAAATTTTCATAGATCATTTATTGGTATCCCTGCTTCGTAACGTAAAAAAAAAAAAACAAAAAAAAAAACAAAAAAAAAAAAAGAAAGAAGAAAATATCTAACTCGATATTAATTCCCTATAAAAGTAATGCATATAATAGAATTAAAATGTTATATCGATCGTTTTATTGATCGACATAAACTTACATTGAATTGGTACGACCACAAAAACTGCTGCTATCCCAAAAAGACCAGAATATCCAGCTTCGGTATAAAGAAAATAGGCAATGATTAAAGCAGTAAGTGGTGCTGACCACATGTGATGTATAAAGATGGAAACAAGATCGAATCTATTAACATCGTTGGCCACTAAATTGACTACTTTTCCTGGAGCAGTATCTCCTAATGCCGTTTGACTAAGTCGTAATGCCTGTTAAAGTATAGAATTAAAACAAGAAAAATAAAATAATAATATTAATATTTTATATATATATATATATATATATGTATTAGAATATTTAATATTATATATTTATTATATATTATATAAATATATTATATATTCATTATATATATATATATATATATATATATATATATATATATAATATATATAATAATTTACATACTTTTCTGTAGACTACAGAGCAAGCAGCAATTCTGACTTTTGCACCAATGTGAAATGCACCAAATATTGTTTGATTAATCGTAATTACGTTAATCGCCGTTGCTATACAAATACCACTGGCATATAAAAGTGCGGTCTCATATGTTTCCTCGCTACCCTTTTTGAAATATCTTAAAAGACCACCTAATAACAATGGTGTTCCTAATCTATGATCAAAAAAAAAAAAAAAAATACACGATGTTTAGATTCTCATATTACCATAAAAGTTTCTTATTTCTCGTATCCCATTTCTATTCTCATTATCATGAGATCATTATGTTCTTACTCGTATTACCTTATTATAAATTCATTAAGTATCTGCAATAATCCTAAAAGGAAGTATTCCATTAAAAAAGTACGAAATATCGCTCTCAAAAAGAGCGGACTGCGTTTTTGTTTCTTCGCATTTTCCAATTCGATGTTCCATCGTCTGAAATGAGAAACAAAGAGAAAAAAAGAAAGAAAGAAAAAAAGAAAGAAAAAAAAAAAACAGAGAAAAAATTACATCCAATCGAATAAGTCGAAAGTTAAAAAAAGAAATAAAAATCGAACGTATAAATATACTAACTTTTCTAATCTATTTCCAAGGACGGTAGAACGATCTTCTTTTAAAGGATCGTATAAATCTTCGGCTTCTAATATTTTCTTGTAACCAGTTTTAAATAAACTCAAAGACCACCTAATCAATAAAATATTCTTTAAAATAATTTAATTTTCATTTGTATATTATCTTACTATCTTTAACGTGGAGTACAGTTAACTTGTTAAGATAAAACGTACATATATACATACGTACGTATATTGACATAAATATATACACACATATACACACATACACGTACACACAGATACGCCATATGTAAAGCTCTTGAGACTACAGCATTTTTTCGATCAATTATATTTCACGATAAATATCTTATAAGAAAACTGATATTAGATATTAAATATTGAATAAGTAAATAATATTATTATTGTTTATAGTTGGTAATATTTTTTATCTATCTATATATAGTTAAATATGTGTACGTTTGAATTGTTATTATATAAATATTATTTTTCAAATAAATATTATATATAATATTTATATATAAATATTATACTCATATTTCAATGAAATAAAAGTATCTGTACATTCAAAAGAATTTCCTTTCAAATTTGTTTTATAAAAATAATATTTTTATTTCAGTTAAGATGAAACGTTATAGCTGAGACAGAGAAAGAGGGAGAGAGAAAGAGAGAGAAAGAAATGACACACGTAATATAATATTTGTCGAAAGAATTAAAGTGTTGAAAAAAAAAAAAAAGAAAAAATCGTCGTTTCATCGTCGTTTCATCGTCGTTATTATCACAATAATTTTTGCGATCTATATAAACGTCCTTCGTTGATATATTTCAAATTAAATAAATTATAAATGATGATATTATTTTCTTGTTTTATTTTTTTAATATTTCGATGTAATAAGTAAATATGGAAAAACAAGAAAACAAAGATATTTTTAATCGGAACAATATATATATTAACAATATTATTACTTACCACCAAAATAACACGGAAATAATATTTGCCTTTTCTCTTGGATTTGGTTTGGATTTTGTTTTACTCGAATCCATTGTACTTTACCTCGGATATATGGTATAAAAAAAATTCTTCTTTATTGTCAATGAAATATTATATTTGAATTGCGTTTAAATTGAATTGCGAAATCCTTAAAAGGGAAAAAAAAATCCTCTGAAAATATATCACTCATCGATCAACATACACTGATAAATACTCTTTTATCGGATTATTGAAATTACAATTAACACTTATCTCGAAGACCACACTTAAATGTTTTTTTTTTTCTTTAACGATCGAGTATTTAACGATCGATTAGATCCGATTAATTCTCTTGAGATTATCGCTTTGTACTAGTATGAATCGGACAATTCATCGATACACATCACAACGCACAAGTTATTCCTTTGTAATATATTAATTGATTATTCAACATCAATTGTCTCATTTGTAAATATAAAAAGATATCAATAAAGAAAAGATCGTATGATTTAATTAATAATCCAAATGATTTATATCGAGATATCCTTTCTCTCTTCTAACGTTGTATTCGTATTCTTCAATATCCTTCCTCGCAGAACATGTATCTGAAATAATACGTAATCTAATGTGATTCGTTATATTTATAAGGTACATTCGGTATATTTCATATCTAAAAAAAACCATATCAACGTTATCTATCGCTCATTAAAACTCAAGTTTCGTCATTCTTCAAATAATTAATTTGCAAAAACGAATAGTATCATTTTGACATTCGTTTGTGAGAGTATTTTGCTGTTACAAAAAAAAAAAGAAAAGAAAAAAAAAACAGAAAGGAAAAGACAGACTTGATTTATTCTAAAGAGTATAAAAAAAACTTTATCGGGCTCGCTGTCAAATACTGTCGTTGTCAAAAAAAAAAAAAGGACAAAAGAAATTTGTTTTTACTGTTGAAAAAGAAATAAAAAAAAAAAAAAAAAAGAAAAAAAAAGATAAAAGAGAGAGAGAGAGAGAGAGAGAAAGAGAGAGAGAGAGAAAACGCAATTAGATTTTCCAATTTACTTTTTTATCTTCTTTCATTTAAAAATTTACGCGAACTCAAGAGATACATAAACGTTACGTATATTTGTCATTTAATTAATAACAAACAAATCACATGGAATAGATTGCACTTAGACGTTAAATTGATACAACAAAATATATCTGTTTTATATATGCACATACATAAAAATTCTTCATCATGAATATAACTATATGTATGTATATATTTCATTGTGAATATATACATACGATATTTATGTTATATTTACTTTTGCAATAAAATATCACTATAACGTTGAATTAGTATATACAATGAGTTAGAAAAAATTTATGTTGAATATACATACATACATACATTCATACATATATACATATGTATAAAATATGAAACTAGTATACGTATGATTAAACTTCAATTTCTCAAAAATTATTAAGATAATTATATACCTACATACATACACATGCATCCATACATATATATATATATATATATATGTGTGTGTAAGTACGAGAAAGTTGTGTAATTGTTATTAGATTTTTATTTTCTTTATACGATAGTTCGAACAGATGGCTGTGAATGAATGATCGTAAAAGTCAAATGAACTTTGATGAAATAACGAGAGAAAGGAAATATATATAAAAATACGAAAAAAAAATTCGTTTTTACTGTTGCAAAAAAAAAATTAAAAAAGGAAAAAAAAAGAAAAAAAAAGAAAAGAAAGGTAAAAGAAAGAGTGAGAGAGAGAGAGACAGAGAGAGAGAGAGATTTCTACGTAACACTTGAAATTCCTTAACGTACATACGATCGATAGATATTTCAACGTGTAAATTATTTACATTATAAAAGTCAGTTATGAAATATGAATAAAAAGAAAATAGAAACGATTTTGCTACGTATAAGAAAATATGAAAAAAGGAAAGAATGAAAGGAATGCATATAAATATGATTAATTGAAATAAACTCGATCTTTTTATATCTCATTATTATATTTTGCCTTGCTTAATGTTTCCAAAAATATAAATACAATCTTGCCTGATAAAAAATTCGTAAATAATATTAATCATAAAGTATATGATTAATTCAATTGACTTACGATAAGATCAATTAAATATTAATAAAAAAATTTTGATAAATTCCGTAAGATTGGCGACTAATAAAAAGAGAAGAAGAAAAAAAAAATACATATATATATAAAATATATAAAATAAATAAATAAATAAATATATACATATATATATATATATATTAATTTTATTAATGTTTATTTTTAGTCTAATTCATGGATACACCTCGTAAATATAAATTAAACATTCGTAATGGGGATAAATCAATTATAAAATCAATATCATAAAATAAAGTTGAAACATTGCATTTGAATCATTGTTTCATTTTAATTTCATCCAATAAATTCATACCAACGAAGAACTATATAAACTTGTTATATCTATTATGCAACGATGAAATGGAAAAATATCTGTATATAATGCACGCGTGTGTGTGTGTGTGTGTGTGTATGTGCGTGCGTGATCGTGTCATAATTATTTATCATTGTACATATTTATACCGTAAAAAGAAGTTGGTTTCATATAAGAATACCTATACATACATAAAAATAAGCATATCATCGTTAGTCAGCGTCATTTTGATCTTTTCCACTTTCCCCCACCCCCTCCTACACACCCTCATCTCTTAACATGTTTTTTAAAAAGAGCACTATTAAATTTATGTAATTTTTACGTAACGAAATCCACTATTAAAATACAAATTTATCTCTCTCTCTCTCTCTCTCTCTCTCTCTCTCTCTCTCTCTCTCTCTCTCTCTCTCTCTCTCTCTCTCTCTCTCCTCTCTATCTCTCTCTCTCTCTATCTCTCTCTCTCTCTGTCTCTCTCTCTCTCTCTCTCTCTATCTCTATCTCTCACTCTGTCTGTCTATCTATTTTCTGGTTTTATTCAATGATCTATCAATTTTTTTGTAATATATCGATTAAATACATAAATAGTCGATTAAAATAAAACGATTGAAATGTTAATTGTTATGACATATTAAAATATTACACTTATCTTGATAAGATTATCAAAGATATTACCTGTATTACACAGTTAATCTGTCATAAATTTCGACTATCGTCATATAATCTAATTTATTATCTTCTTATTTCTTTTATAATTATAAGCTTTTCTATTATTGATCGATTATGATCATTATCATTTCCTTCTTCTTCTTCTATCTATTTTTTTTAGTTCTTTTCTTTTCTTTTCTCCTTTTTTTTTTTCTTTTTTTTTTTTTTTTGCCAGACAAATACCAATTATCGTTCTAACGTAATCTAATGTAATTAGGTATATTTAAAATAAGAATATCTCATATTTAGTAGTATCAAATATATCAATCTTATCTATTGTTCATTCAAATTCAAATTTCGTCATTCAAATTCATATAATTGATTATAACGAAAACGTATACTTCAAATAATTGATTTGTACAGAATGTACTTTCGTACATGTTAATGTTTTTTTTTTTTCTTTTCTCTACTTTCCTTTCTTTTCTCTCTCTCTCAAAGAATTAAATCCAAGGAAATAATCATGAAATATTTTAATGAATTCGTATTAATTTTATTTCTTATTTGTTTCGATAAAGAGATATTAATTTGTTAATTCAATGAATTCGAATATAAACAGAAAATTGAACGACAAAACGAAAATCTGAGATATAATTTTAACTTATTGAAAGAAAGAGAGAGAAAGAGAGAGAGAGAGAGAGAGAGAGAGAGAGAGAGAGAGAGAGAGAAAGAGAAGATAGTTAAATGGATCAATTCTTTTTTATAGAACGACCCGTCCCTTTAAAAGCAACATCAACCCTCCCTGCTTTTTTTTCATTCACTCAAATACGTTAAGGGATCTAATGGAAAATACCCAATGAGCTTAACTTAAACGTTCAATTAAGACTCTTAGTATAAGATTGAAATAATACTTCTATTTATTTAATAGATATTCTTTTATTAATACAATAAAAAGTATTTTGTAAAATAAATATAGAAATACTGATCGTTTCTTTCCAATACTCATATAATAAATAAAAGCTTTGGAAAAATCCAATATAATATATCAAATAAAATGATAAAATTAAAAATATATGTTTTCAATTTTATCATGATCAAAAATGAAGGATTCAATTTTATAGAAACATTTAATTTATTAAATTAACTCTATAATTATAAATATAATACTTTATAAATATAATTGTAAAAGTTTATATAATTATATATTTATATAATTTATATTTATATAATTAACTTTTTGAATTATTATAAAGTTATTAATAATTATTATTATAATGTTATCGCGTATATATACTTTTAATAAAGTTCATATAAATAAACTTTTATAATTATATCTATATTTTAAATAAATATCCATATAGATAAAGTACTGTACAATAAATTAATGATGTATTAACGATAATACAATCAAACATATTATTCGTAATTTTATGATTAAAATAGTTTATTTGAATGAAATGAAATTTATTATACGTTACTTTTTTAAATCCAAAAGCAAATTGTTCATAATTCGCAAAATGATTAGAAATCGATACGTTATACGAGTCACACCCTGTAGAATTATATAGGGTGGGTCAATAAAATTCATAGACGATTTGAAAAATTCCATTGCTCTTTTTTCTTCCCCACCTCTATATCTCCCTTCAAAACTTTTCAAATCAATATATTTCTATCATTATTTCTTTTTCGCAGATCGTAAAGAAATTTCTTGGATTTGTTAAAAATCTTGTTTTCTTTTTTTTTTTTGTTTTCTTTTTTTTTCTTTTTAAATCTAATATGAAGAGAAAAAAAGAAATGTAAAGAAAGAGAAATAATGTTAATAACATACAAAAAAATTTGCGAAAAATAATAAGTAATTAACTCGTTAAAAGAATCGTCAGGAAACATCTGTTATACCATGTACATACGAAAAAAAAGAAAATAAAAAAAAAAAAAAGAAAAAAAGAAAAGAAAAGAAAAACATATCTATAAATATATATCGTTATATAGCAAAAGTTAAAACTTCCTTAGAAGTTCCAAAGAACATTGCCTATCGTATTTTTTCGTCATGTAAAACAAATAGAATCGTTAAAAGGAAATGATTCGCAAAATGGTTGAACAGCTATCTCTATCTCCTTCTCTTTCTATATATATATATATATTTTCTTCCTATATATATATATATATGTATGTATATATATATATATATATATATATATATATATATTTGTAGCAAATTTTATGCATATATGCATATACATATATATATATATATAACTGTAACATGATTTATCTTTGTAAGTGTTCAACGAAAAGAGAGATAAGTTAGCTTAACGATAGAGAATTAAATGGCGTTATACTCATAACGTGCGAGTGACATGGAGAATTCCCATCTCTTTACTTTGATAGCCGGGTCAATTGTTGATAGCACGTGACGCGTCTGCATTCAATTTGGTACGACAATTGCTTAACATTATACAGTTTAATTCAACCAACGAAACGTAATGGACGGAATTCTTTTCTATAGAAATGTCGAATGAGTGATCGAATGGAAAAAATGAAAAAAAATGAAAAGAATGAAAAAAAAAGAAAAAAAAAAATTGAAAAAAAAAAAGGAAAAGAAAACAAAATTAAATGAATAAATTATCTCATCTAACGATTGTTATTTTGTTTCTTTTGGGAGGTTTTTTCCTTTTTTTTTTTTTTTGTTTTCATTTTTCTTCTTGACGATTATTATTATTTCAACGAGAATCATCGTTTTCTTTTGTCTTTTTCTTTCTTCTCGTGTTTCCTTTCTTTCTTTATTTTTCGTTTTTGTTTCTTCTCTTTTTCTCTATTTCTTTCTTTCTTTTTTTTTTTCACTTTTGTTTCTTGTAAATTTAATATATAACCTTCAAAATCACATTGTTAATTTTAATCAATGAACTTATATTCGGATCAGATTCATTAAAATTGTTTTAATTAAAATTAATACCTTTTAAAATTAATAAAAAAAATTTTGTTTGTTAAAAATTATTTTATTTTTTGTTTCGTTTTTTTTTTCTTTTTGAAACAAATTCAACGAATATCGTAAAATATTTTTTCTCTCATTCAAATCTTTGCGACTATCATCTGCGAATAAAAAAAAAAAAACAAAAAAAAAAGAAAAGAAAAGAAAAAAAAAGGAAAGAAGAATAGAAAAAAGAATATGATAAAAAAAGATATAATAATAAAAAAGAGAAGAAGAAGAAAACTATCGTTAGTATATACTTCGTTGATTTGCTATTAATAATCGATATTGAGATAGGCAATTGCGCTCTCATCCGTCTACTTCGTTGATTCGATGGCTCGTTAATGACAATAAATAGATGACTCGACCCAACGAGACCACGATTTAATATTAATATACCTCTTACATGGGTATGCTCGATCATCGATCTTAAGAATAAAACATTATAACGATAATCTCGATCATAAAAGAAAGTATTTTATAATATAGTTCACGCAATTAATTATTATTAACAATATTATCGATACATTCTATTCAAAAAATATATATTAATATATATTAATATATATATATATATATAACTAATTGAAAAGGCAATTCTTTATTGTGATCTATTAAGATCACAATATCGTAAATTATCGTAAATGTAACGATGGGAGAAAATACTCGATCATTGTTTCAGTCTCGATCATAGAAAGTATACTATAACGAAATAATATAATCAACGTTATCGGAAAATAATTTTCTTTTGTAATTTTTATTAAAATTATTGATTATTGAAGTATAACAATAACGATTATATTTATGATATTTTTCTTTCTCGATCATAGAAAATGTTTTACGATGAAATCATACGATTAAACATTGTCTCAAAATTGTTGGCACATTTTATCAAGTAAGAAATAAATAAAAAAATTCAAAAAAAAAAAAAAAAAAAAAAAAAAAAAAAAAAAAAAAAATTCAAAAAAAAATAATTCTCGATTATGATTAATCGTGATCATTGATCGTCGAATTATAATTAATGATAATATATTGACTAACGATGATTCATACTTCTGATTCTTTATCTATATATTAATAATAAATAAATAAATAAATAAATAAATATGTATATAATGAATAAAAAAAAAAAATAATAATATTAATAAACGAATGAATAAAATTCGTAGAAAAATAGACATGTGAAAGTGATCTTTGATACGGTCATCGATCGTTAATGTTTTAATGTCGTTAGAAAATAATTAGATATGAGATAACCTTTAATTTACATCAACATATAAAATACACGTATACATGAATCACATATACGTGCATACAAATCTAATATTTAATCGTACGAAATGTAAAGTACTTTTGTAAAAACAAATTCAAGGCTTTTCCGCTTAAATATCATCGTTTGAAGGTCAAACACTTGACGTGTGTCACTTGACTTATTCACTTGCATCAATAAAATTCATAATTCTAACGTATTTAATAATTTCTAATCCAAGGATCGTGAATATAATTGTGAAAAAATATTTATTAATTATAAACAAAGAACTTTACGAGTATTGATGAAAGATTATGAATTAAAGAATAAATTGAAAAATAAGAAGGAGAAAGAACAAAGGCTCAAATAAAATATTAGAACGAATTCTATTCCAACGATCAATGTCAGATAACGCCTTTGTTCCTCTCTAAACATTTGCATTCATACTAATCGTATTTCTTCGACGATCTCATAATAGATATTTTCAGAATCACCGGAATAACGCATGGTTGTTTCTCTCTCTCTCTCTCTCTCTCTCTCTATCCTTTCTATCTCCTTTTTGTCCATCTGTCTCTTTCTCTCTCTCTCTCTCTCTCTCTCTCTCTCTCTCTCTATCTCCGTGTTTATACTAACATTATTATCATAATAAATAACTTACTACGAATATTGTTAGATTTAAATTGTCCTTTAAATTATATGATTTAAAAAAATTATATTCCCTGTACATATATACACATACACACACGCACGCATATATATGTACATTATATAATTTTATATATATATATGTAGAGAAAGAGAGGGAGAGGGAGAGAGAGAGAGAGAAAGATATTATTTGAAACATAGTAAATTATACTTACGCAAACGAAGGATGAAAAAAAATGTCGTATTTGATATTACGTTAATTTCGATGATATTCGTTGGTTATTCTCATAAACACATTCACATTGAGATTTCGCGGGTTTCTTTGTCTTAAATAATGTGGCGCTTTTCAAATAGGACAAATGACAATCACCCATAAAATAAAACTATCGTCATTCTTTTGTTTCAAATAAACGACACTTTTTCCTATATGTAATATTTCGCATTACTATGAAAATAGCTCGACTTTGCCGCCTCTAACGAGTAACATTGTACGACTAGCACCGTAGAACACGTTCACCAGACTAACCTAATCTTTATTACATCTAACTCCATAAATTAAGTTATATATTATATGTCATACAAATGTATTCGCGTATACGTATTCAATCCATGCTCCTAAAGAAGACACTGTTGTTTTATATCAATCTGTCGAAGGATTGTATTCAAGCATCAGCGCCATCTAACGATAGAACGTTGGAATTAAAACTTAAAGAGCGAAAATTTGAACTTACATAAGTCACATGAACGATAACGATAGTTTCACATTTGATTTCTTTGATATGCGTGCATATATATATATACACACACACACACACATACACATACATGCATATAAAAAACAATTTATTTTCTTATGTAATGCAAAAATGATATACAATTGATTCGTAAAAAATAATGTTAACAGTATTATTGATGTTCTAAATGATTTCTTACAACATAATATTTATAATCTTATTGTCTATTTCCTTATGTAAAAAAAAAAAAAAAAAAAAAAAAAAGAAAAGAAACATTTATATACATTTTCGTGTCAATTTAGTTATAGCATAGACCTGCCTATGATAATCGAAAATTATTTCCATTAATCTATATATTTATAATATTTTAAATGATTATATGTATCAAAGATTTTATTTATCCAATTCCTCCACTTTTATCGCTTTACTTTTTTATATATATATATAATCGAAATGTTATTAATATTATAAATGAGATTTTTGATAGTGTTAAAACATTTGTTTTAATTATGATCGTTTTACATGTTCTCTCATTAATTACTTCATTTTATTTAACAACAATAAAAAAGTAGCATATATTTTCTGAATTTGAAATAAATATTGTTTTCTAAATAAAAATTCATATATATATATATCTATATATATATATATATATATAGAGAGAGATAGAGAGAGAGAGAGAGAGAGAAATGGAGAGAGAGAGAGAGAGAGAGAAAAATGTTTTTAATTTTACATGCAGTTCATCTTACTCTAGTCATACTAGATATTTTTTCTCATTGTTTCTCTTGTTTTCTATTTTTTTAAACTATTATAATCAATCGGATATTACATTGCACTACTCCATTGAGCTATGAGAATTTTTCTATCTGCATTACAATATGCGTAACATGAAATACATAAAAAAGAGAGAGAGAGAAAGAAAGAAAGAGAAAGAAAGAGAGAGAGAGAGAGAGAGAGAGAGAGAGAGAGAGAGAGAGAGAGAGAGAGAGAGAGAGAGAGAGAGAGAGAGAGAGAGAGAGAGTGAACATTCAATTTAATATGATTCGCTTATAAAATCAGAGCAGCTTGACGTGTATAATAATTAAAATTCGAGATATATGAATTAATAGAAAATGATTAATAATATATAAAAAAAAAAAAAAAAAAAAAAAAAAAAATATGAAAAGAAAAAAAAAAGGAAAAAAGAAAAAATTACGTAATAAAATACAGCTATTAACAGCTGCTTGGCCAATGGCATATCTTAAAAATTAAAATGTATAATTAAATTTTGTTAAGTCATTACAAATCTAATAAATATTTTTCATAACTATAAGCCACTTGTTTCTGTCTTAATTGTTGTAATTATAAAATTAAAAAGAAAAAAAAAAAAAAAAAAAAAAAAAAAAAAAAAAAAAAAAAAAAAAAAAAAAAAAAAAAAAGAAAAAACCCTTCTAAATTGTTTTTATATACCTATACAAAAAAAAAAAAAAAAAAAAAAAAAAAAATATATATGAAAGAAAAAAAGAGAGAGAAAGAAAGACGATATAATATAAATTCGTAGTCTACTGCTTTTAAACCTAGGTACAGATATAACACCTGTTTGTTTTTTTTGTTTTTTTTTTTTAGGCTGGAATTAACATATTTATCCTTTCTATATTCTTATATAATTTTATTCTAATGTATTATGTTATCGTGATTGAGAATTTAATAACATTAATCCAAGCTTTTCATATGCATATGTTAAATTTTTATAAAGACCTTTGGAACAACCATTTTCTTGGATGGTTTGGAATCTGTAAGTTTTAAAATTTTTATCTTGATCTATATAAGTAACAGCAGCCATTAGAGGGCACATAATAATTTTTGTGTGATCCAAGAAATTTATCTAAAAATAATATTCAACGAAATAAATGACATGAAATAAATAAAACAAATAAAATGATTAATATAATAAGTAAAAAATTAATAATAATAAAATTAATTAATATAATATATGAACACAATCGAGATAAAAGAAAAATTTCAAATTAAAATTAACTTCAAGCAATAATATTGATTAAATAAAATCGATAAATAAATCGATTAACTTACCTGTATCGTTCCATTTGTTAGTTGCATAACTACAGCAGTCTGTGTCCTAAACCATTGATGCATATAAGGTATTCTTGATAAGGAATCGCCTTGTTTTAAAGCGATCGATCCACCGGCTTTCATTAAATGCTCGTTCATGTATTTGAGGAAAAAATTCATTAACTTCATTTTCTTGTCTAAAATAGTTGGATATTCTTGAACGGTATAATATAATTCATTTCCATCGCGATTTATATAATGGATATTGAAACCATTGGCCAGCATTATCAGTCTTGTACCATCGTTAAACATAACACCTACTCCATCATCAGATAATTGATATCCAAATCCATATTTATCAGAATAATCAACCCATTTACTTATCCAAATTAAAGGCTGTGCAGCTGGATCAGTCATTTCATCTATAATGATTTAAAAGAAGATAATATTATATTTGATATGTAATATTATAATAATATATAATAAAATGTTCTAACTGAAGAACTATTATATAAATTAATTCAAATATTGTACGTATTAGAATTTGGAAAATTGTTAATTATAGATTAATAATCATTTGATATTATTGCAGTTATTAATCTAAAATATTTGCAAATAAAATACTGTTACTTTTAATTACAAATGACAAATTTTTAATTATAGATGAAATTTCTTCCATCTTTATAAATCCTGGAGGAATTGAAGGAATGATTCGATTAATATAAATCTCAACAAATGAAGGTGATTAGTCATATAACGTAAAAAGGAAAGAATATGCATGCCTGAGGGTTCCATAAGGATCTGGAATGGTTTTGGATATTCTGTAGAAAAGAAATTATTTCTTTTATAACATGTAAATAAAATTCTATTATAAAAAAAATGTAATATTTAAAATAATCTTTAACATACCTCCAGAAGATGCTGTTTCGCTTGATGGTCTAGCCACTAATACAGCAGTCAATTGTTCTTTTAATGTCTGTAACATTTTCTTTATATCTAGATTTACTTTTTGCACACCATTAACATCTTCCGTAGGTTTTTTACGTGCTGGACTATTTGGCACACGGAACGTATTATCTTCTCCATCTCCACCGGCATTAAGATTCATTTCGGATAAAGGTTTACGTTGATTATGCATCTCCAACATATCCAAACGTGGTGGCATTGTTAAACACGAAAGTGGCAAACTTGTTGGCAAATGGCCTAAAAATAATATTGATAAATAATTTCACTTACATATTGTACCATTTATTGTATATATGATATAATGCAATGATTTTATTACCAGACGTAAAAAAGATATCCTTTATTAATTTAGATACAGGAGGACGTTTTGAAGGTGTCCCTTGTAGCATACTTGTAATCATTGTCATTGCAGGTTTACTTAGATGTGAAGGTGTTTTATATTGAACTTGTTTAATTCTATTATATGTTTCTTTTAAAGTTGATGTTTCAAATGGAGGTTTACCGACAAGTAAAGTATACATTATACAACCTATGCTCCACACGTCAACTTCATAAGAATGTCCTGCTTTAGTTAAAATTTCTGGAGCAATATAATTTGGCGTTCCACATAATGTTCTATAAAAAGTTGATACGTTATTCTCATTTATTATCAAACAATATTCTTTTTTTTTTTTGCTTTATATCAATAATCTTCAGCAATTACTTTTTTCTTTCTCCATCATGCTCCAATCGTGTCGCCAGTCCAAAGTCACCAATTTTAACTTGTAGATCATCATTTAAGAATAAATTACCTAATTTTAGATCTCTATGTATAATTCTATTTTGATGTAAATAATGTACACCTTCTAAAATTTGTTTCATATAATACCTAGTCTCACATTCTGAAAGTGCTTTTCTACGTTTATGTAGCTCCATCATTGACTAAAAAATAATTCTAAAGATATAAAAATTTGTCTAAATAATATCATTACAAAGGTATACCAATTAACTTACTCTTTTACGGCAAAGTTCAAGAATAATATAAATATTTTGTGCATCATCAAAAAAGCCATAAAATCCAACAATGTTTCTGTGATTTAAACTCTGATGTATTGCAATTTCTTGCGTCATTTTTTCCCTTTGATTACTTTTTGTCATTATCGATTTGGATACAATTTTTCCCGCAAAAACATGATGAGATTTTGATTCTCTGATTTCATAACATCTAGCAAATCCACCCTTTAAACGATAAAAACAAAATACTCTATTATAATATTATAAATATATTTCATATGTTTTAATTTTCAATAATAAATTAAATGTCTAATAACTTAGATCAAAATACATTTTTGGTTATTATATTTTATGAACATATTTTTTAAATTTTACAAAAATCATGCTACTTAATATAATAGAAATATTAAAGTATGAATTCAAGCCAATGAAATAAAAATTTGAATCCATAAAAGAACATACAACTTTCATACAATTTCATACAAACATACGTATAGCAACAGGTTGTTATTCACACATTACCTTCATTCACAATATGATACAGATCAAATTTTAATTATTGATAAAGTGCATAAATGTAGAATTATCAGATTGAAATAATTAGAACATTATTGAAATATGATATGCACATAAAGATCAAGATGAATCTTATTTAATGATTGTATGCAAATTAAACAAATAAAAAAAAAAAAAAAAGGTTGTTATGAAAACAATGTTTAATGTTTAAAGAACATAATAATAAAATGTGTGAAATTAACATATTAAAAAATTATAAAAATATTTCTATATTTTTAACGTAGTATATGGGATTCTTATGGTGACAAAAAAATTTTACTCACCTTACCAAAGAAACGACCTTTGAGATAACTTTTACCGGTATTAGAATCGTATATAACATCGGGAATAACGCACTCTTTTTCGTCTTTTGACATTTTTATGATTTTTTAGATATTTTATGTCGATATCAATATATAATGAAAGTTTATGTCTTAAGTTAAAGACGCTATTATTGATACAGTCTACAGAACAGGCAACACTTCCTGGCACAATATATCTTCCTAGAAAATTCAAACCGCTGTTTTCGTATTCCGGAAGGCAAGCAACGGACTCTGATGTTTAAATTAAAGAAATATATCCAATCGCCTGAGGCTTCGTTGTCATGTGACTATAACAGAAACCAAATAGAATCGAGTTAAGTGTATATATGACGTATTTTTTCCAAAATTATTAATGGTGCCATCTAGCATCTAACAGAATGTACTAACTTGTTTGATTCTACTTTATATCTATATTTATATACGTATATATATATATATATACATATATATATATCTATATATATATACATATATTTGATGTTAAACATATGCAAATTAATTACAATGGTTTTTTTTGTTTATACTGTAATTATTATTCATTCTTAGAGTGTAATAATTTATAAGTATTAAGATGACTTTTCATGAGTTTCAAATTATTGGTTAGTTCCATCGTTTAAGGAATGGACAAATCCCTATATATTGATAAGTTGAGTTTAGTATAATTATAGTACAATGTCTATATTTATAATTATATAATAAAAAGTATAATATAATAGTAAATTTGTTTTCTTTCTTTAATATGTATATATATTCATTCATGAATTAATAATACAAGACATAATGTAAATTATATTATTCAGTTGAACGTTAATGAAAACGCTGCATGTATCTTGTATATCCGGCAAATTGGAACGCCAATTTGACTGGTATGTATGGTCGATGAATCTTTTTCCGGGAGCCGGCGTCCATTTTCCTTCTTGGTTTGTCTTTAGTTGGCGCGTTTCTTGTTTATAAAAAAGCTTCGATATTTATTTGTTATATAAAAAGTAAGTATTTCAATGATAAAATATATAAAAATGTTTCATTAATAACTTCTAGTAATATTATTCATATTCGATAAACGAATGTAAATTCCCTTGATAATGTTTTATTGGTTTCGTGTTTTCTGTATGGCGTCTATGTTGTAATTATTTTGTTTTCGTATCATTTTTATGTTTTAACTTTTTAAAAAATTTTATTTGAAAGTTTAAATACCGAAGGAAAAAATGGAAGGTGCGCCAAGTGGTAGGGGCGGTTTTAGAGGTCGCGGTGGACCTGGTGGACCGATGAGAGGACGCGGTGGCTTTGGAGATAGAGGAAGGTACAATTTAAATTTAATTATATATTTCATTTAACTATATTATCCTCGTAATAACGAATATGCTTATAGAATTGCTTCGCTTTAACATGAAACATTTTGTAAATATGATTAAAGTAATGTTTATATTTTTGTATTAGGGGTGGTCCACCTAGAGGAGGTAGTATGATGCGAGGTGGTCGCGGTAGTGGACCTGGAGGTGGAATGAGAGGTGGTCCACCAGGTATTAGAGGTAGAGGTGGTCCTCCAGGAAGAGGTGGACGCGGCCATTTTCCACCAGGGTAATGTCATAATAAATTTCTATATAAAAATAATATAAATGTATAATATTTAATGTTGAAAATATTAGATATTATGTAAAATTAAGATACTTTATACGAGGATATTGTTTTTAGAGGTCCTCCAGAACCTGGAATGGCTGGTGGTCCTGGTGGTGGCCCTCCGCCCCCAGGATTAGGTGGTCCACCAAGAGGAGGAAGTAGAGGAGGTGGAAGCAGTGGCTTTCGTGGTAGAGGGAGAGGAGATTTTGGTAGAGGAGATAGTCGTACTCCAAATAATAATTTCCGTGGACGTGGTGGTATGGACAGAGGAAGTCGTGGTAGTTCGAGGTAAAGTATTATGATTTTCTTTTTATCATAATATATTATATAATTCTTATTATTAATATTGACATAATTTATAATAGAGGTGGCTCGAGTAGAGGTGGTCCAGGTGGAAGAGGAGGTTTTGGAGATCGTGCTAATAGAGGTGGAAGAGGTGCACCGACGAAAAGAGCAGGTGGTCCACCGGGAGCAAGTGGTCCTTCGAAAAGACCAAGATTTGATCAGCCATCTTCACAACCTTCTAATGGTTATGCAACACAACCTCCAAAGTAAGGATTTATGATTTATAATAAATATCAAATGTTGATGAAATATAATCAACAAATAATATTATTTTATAATTTGTGATATAGTCAAGGTGGATATGGAGGAGGTGCAGGAAATGCATATGGTGGAGGTCAACAACAGCCACCACAGCAGCAACCAGTAGGATACGGTGGAGGTTATGGATCACAACAAGGTTATGCACAGTCATCATATCAAGGCTATGAAAGTTATCAACAGCCACCTGACTATGCACAAGCTGCGGTAAAAGAATTCTTTCATTTATAATATGATCATACATTTACAATAATGAAAATTTATATATCTGTATTAATAAAACTTAAACATAATACTTATTATATAGGGGTATCCACCATCGGCGCCACCTGATAATAGGTATGGAGGAGCTCCTGCTGTGCCAGCAACTGGAGCATTTAATACTGGTGATCCTTATAGTTATGGAAAGGCACCACCTTCAGGTTAATATAAATATACTTTGTATTAAATTTTTTTTTTACTTCAGCCATGCACGAGTGTTTTCGTTTTAGTGATGCTTCATTTTTAAATTAGTTATGCACGCATGCTTCTATGTACTCATATGTACATTTCCGTATTTGGTACATAAATTTTTATACCACTTATGAATCACATTTATTAATAATTTTGATTTCATTTGTAAATTCTAAAAATGTGATCCTATATATATATATATATATCTTATCTTTGTATGCTGATGAAGACATAGCTGCTTTTAATTGTAGATTAATATTACATAATACATGTACAGCTAGTTACCAGCAGGAGGCAGTAGCAGCTGCAGTTGCAGGGGGTGGGGGTCCGGGTTATGCTCCTGCTAACCCGTATGATGACCGATCTTCTAATGCTACCACCATGATCAACAGGGGTGGTTACTCTACGCAACCTTATGGTTAGTTCTTTCGTTCGATCATAATACTATTTTTTTTTTGTTTTCGTCGGTTTGATAAAAACTTATTCATTATATATCATTCGTATGTTTTGGGTTTCCACATAAAAAATATTTAACGTGAATCGATTCAGACGAGAAACATTGTTAATAATAATAATCATTATCAATGTAAAATATGATTATAATTATTATGAATATATAATTACCATTTTTTCAACTTTAAGTTAAGCCAGTGGGATATATAAATTATTGCGTTTTATTATTGTTACTATTTTAAATTAATTAAAATATATAAATGTATGAATATATTTTTTATATATACATACATACATACATATATGTGTATGTATGTGTATACATTTTATATATATATATATATATATATTTGTGTGTGTATATATATATATATATATAAAGCATGAATAAAATTATATTCATTTGGATGCCAACACTGCAGCACTGCCTCCTGCCATTCTTCACAGCAACATTATTCTTTATCTTAATATCTTTTCATCAACAATTAATTAAAGAGAACATAAATGTATAATATATATTTAATTTATTATATTCGCATTCAATTACAGACTTTTTCTCGTCTGAGTCAAACTGAAATTATATTCTATAAGTGTTATCATTATAGAATTAGTTTAAGTTTATATTTTATGTGTTTACAGATTATCCAAATCAGGATGGAGTATACGGCAAACAGGATTATGGTAAGTACTGTTTAAAATTTTAAAACGTCGCATTAAAAAAAGAAAAAACAGTATTTTAGTATACGAGGTCAAGTCATTTTATTATGAAATAGATAGAAACTTATACAACAAATGAATAGGAATATATATTGCGAAATTTATATTTGGAAAAAAAAAGAACTATGAAAGGTAAAAGATATTAATTATGGAAAGAACGTATAATGAATTAATTGATATTTATGGAAACTTCATATATATATATATATATATGAAAGCAATATGAACTGCTTTTCTGATTAGACATATATTATAAATATTTTTCTTAAAGCAATGAAAAATCATAAAAATTTTTACGAATTTCATACATCGATTTATAATCAATGATAGAAAAGTAAAAGTTATATACATTTTCATGAAGTAATAATGCGTATGTATGTTTTCTTTTATTAATCAATTATGATAATAAAAGCGTTAGGTATGAGAGATCGTCAGGCAAATCAATTAGAAATGATTTAATATACATTTAGGTGCCAATTGGTGGATCATAGCAATTAGAGAATATATTTCAGAATAAGTTTAATTGTTTCTTCAATTAACTTTATATGATTAAATATTCCTAATATATAGGTAAAATATAACAAAGGATTATTGCGCATGCACAGATAATATAAATGACAAATAAAGAAGTTTATTTAGGATCTACTAAAAGAACGAATAAATAGAAAAATTGATCGTTGATATATTTTTTATTATTATATACCATTTCTAATAATATACATATCTATATAGGCTTATTAATCATCTATGGTATAT